AGACTGAGGCCATTCAGGCAGCCCATGACATCACAGCCCAGGATGTCTGGTGCTGAATAGATGACAAAGTGAACTTTTATTTTATTCTCTTCAATAATGTGGACAGCCACCTCCATGATCTTGATGGGTGAATGTCCTTTCCAGTGAACCACGGAGCCAGTTCAAAGCACTCTACTGCAGAGCACTGCCAAGGCCTGCAGCGATCCACTGAGTTTGAAGTGGCTCTGTGCTGAGTCCTGGGGGAGAAAGCCATCCCTCTGCTCCTGTGGGCAGGCCGAGCAGCCTTTAGCACTATGGTCACAGCTGCCATTTTGCTTTTTTGCAGCCTCATCACCTCCACCCCATCAAGACCACCAAGGAGTTCAGTGTTGCAGCCACACCAGTGTGAGCTTCTTAGGCACAGCATATCCCTTACTATTTATGGCCTCTTTGGTTTACTCTGTAAGACAAGGCTTTGGTTTGGGGTGTGGTTTGCCTGTCCTTAAAAGGAGTAATTCAACTTTTCTGTTGAGTCTGATGAGACATAAAGGGTAACTCTCTATAGGCATGGTGATACAATGTGACCACCAATCATGAACTTAAAATTTGGGAAGCAGAGGCAAAAATCCTAAATTCAAGCCCAGCTTGTGCTATATACTAAGACCTCGTTAGAACAGGAAAAAAAGAAAGAAGGGAAGAAAGAAAGAAAGAAAGAAAGAAAGAAAGAAAGAAAGAAAGAAAGGAAGGAAGGAAGGAAGGAAGGAAGAAAATCCTTGAAATTTTGTTCATGTTCTATTGAGGATATTGGATCCTCTGGGGTGCACTTGCAAACACTTCTGAGATGCCTTTTGAGTGCTGGGAATCAAAGCAGGTCTTCTCCAAGAGCAGCCAGTGAATGCTGAGCTCCTCTGCAGCCCAGGCACTATAATTAAAACCTACCCAGGTGGCTGGGTAACACGGAAAATATTACTACTGTAGAATTTCAGAATCAGAAACAAATATTGACATGAGAATCCAGTCAGTCCTCCACTGTTTTATTTGGTTTGGGTGGAATGACACTGTAGATGGAGAGAGCTGAGTCACATGGGAGAGATGCAGTTTGCCCAGCTGGGGGATGACAGGGTGAGGGAGGAGGCAGCTTCCTTTTCTTTTCAGTTTCCTGTATGCCTGTTGAAGTACATTTACAATATTGTTTTGGTAGCTTAGCTTTTAATATACCCAGACAGAAAATGTTTATTTCTTTATACTACCTGTCAAAATTATTTCCTTTGTAGCACTTTGCAAGTCTGTACACACACACACACACACACACACACACAGAAGAAACTTAAGGCCACATTTTGTGTCTTGTACATAGAACAGGGGCACACACAAGGGTGAGAGTAAACTCCAGCCCAAGCAGCCTAGCTTCTAGCTGGCTGTAAGGCCAGCTCTGTTGGTGTACGAGCTAAGGCTGTCTGGACCGACTGTCTGCTGTGTTAGCTAAGGCAATCCATACTAGCTGTCTGCTGTGGGAACTAAGACAGTCTAAACTAGCTGTCTTCTGTGGAAACTAAGGCAATCTAAACTAGCTGTCTGCTATGCTAGCTAAGGCAGCCTATACTAGCTGTCTGCTGTGGAAACTAAGGCAATCTAAACTAGCTGTCTGCTGTGGGAACTAAGGCAGTCTAGACTGGGCCTACACACATCTAAATCCCAAGGGGGCCTGGAATAGAGAGGCTACCTGAACTGTGACCTGCTTAAAGGTGTGTTCATGTTCCCTGACTTAACTGGGTCATTTTGGTGGTTTATTTTTACCATTTGGATTCAGGGCAGGGCCTATTTCAATGTGCTGGCAATCCGCAGGTAATGCATGATTTGAGTGACAGGAACAGGTGTTCAAGAACCCCCAGGGACTATTATTTAATTTTGGTACTCCCCCAGCCTCATGGTTAATAGATGAGTAGCTCTGTGCCTGTGTTCTATTTTTAACTGAATTTGCTCTGTTCAATTGGAATCATGTTCGTTAGACACTGCATTATGCAAACTGGCTCCAAAGTTTGCCAGGAGCGCTAAACTAAACTGTGACAATTCCCAGCCATCGTCATCAAAACCCTCACAGTGAAGCCAATAGCAGGCTTGCTTGCTGCAAGATGGAGTTTTGTCTCTGTTAACCAACTGTGCTGCCTGGTGAGAAAGCTTGGTTGGCCACTTTAGAGGGCATCTCTGCTCCACTCCTGACTAATCCCAGAATGCATCCTCTGGGCTTTGGCTCCAGTGAAGAAGAAACAAGTCATAATGAGGCACAAAAGATGGGCTGCTCACTCTTCGCTCATCTCCACCCTAAAATGGCTTAGATCAAGGGTTCCCTGAGTTGGAGTCCTGTAGAGCCACTCACTAACTAAAATTAAGTACATGCCCTCATGGGGTTGCCAGGCTTTTCCCTTGGTGTGGTAATGGAGTGGTGAGCATCAAGAATTCCCAGAGCCATGGGTTCTCTTTCTCCAGTGCCTCCTAGAGAGCAGTGTCTTGTTTATTTGAAAAGATCCACAGAAGGGCCAGCTTGAAAAGTCTCTGTGGAGACAGTGAATATCCTTATATTCCTTTCCCCACCCAGCCATATCCTCCTGTCTCCACCTCCCTACTGCTGGGATTAAAGGCATTCGATCCCAGGTGTTGATATCACCTTTGTGTGAGCTGTTTCTTTTAGGACTGGGTCAATTTTGTGTAGTCAGTGTGGCCTTGAACTAACAGAGATCGTCTACTGCTTAATCTTGAGTCCTGGGATTAAAGGTGTACACCACCACCACCTAGCTCTATAGCTAACTAGTATGACTGCTTCACTATTTTGATCTCCAGTGACTTTAATAAATTATGAACAATATATCATCACACTCTTAAACTTTAAAATAATTATTACATTGTTTGTGTGTGTGGTCTGCATGTCTGTGTGTGTGCATGCATGCATGTGTGCATGCCTGTGTTTGTGTGTGTGGGGGGGGGTGCATGTATGTATGTGCATCACAGATCCCACAGAGGTCAGAAAAGGATGTTGGGTCCCCTATACCTGGAGCAGTAGACGGTTGTGAGCCATCATGTGGATACTGGGAACTGAACCCTGGTCCTCTGCAAGAGCAACAAGTGTGCTTAACCATTGAGTCATCTCTCCAGGCCCTGATTAAAAAGTTAACGGCACCCAAAAACAACCTAGAAAAGTACCTTGTCTCTGGGATGTAGGGAGAGACCTCTAAGCACCTGTGGTGCTGACCATGCCTATTTGGGTGTGGCTACAGGTGCATAAGGGGAGTATGGGATAAAGATTGGAGGAGAGGGGCACTTCGCTCTCTCATGGTTCTGGTTGGATCTTGGAGAGCTGCTGAGACTAACCTGAGTCATCGGCTCCTCACGTGAGTGATTGCCCCTTAATACATTAACCATCTATATCCATATTTTGTTATTTTCTTCCACACTGGGGTCAAGCTGACATATGAAATTCATCATCCTTGGGAAGTAAGGGAGAGTGTGACTCTTAGCAGTTCCCCAGACTGCACATGTGTGTGCAGAACCGGTCTCACACAGACTCCTCTCTAAAGGCCTGGCATTGTTTGTTCAAATCAGCAAGACACAGCTTTGCCTTCCCACCCAAGCCTCATTTTCTCTCTACAGAAGAGTAGCCAAGACAAAAACAGTTTCTCTTATTTCCCCATTCATCTCCAGAACAGAGGAGCAGTCACTGAGGTCATACATCACCTCTGAACCCTTTCTCTGACAGGTCTATGATAATGATTCAGCACTCAAATGCTGACTCTGAAAGAGTCCCTTACCCCACCTCTGCAGAGTGCAGGACTCTCACAGGACACCCCTGCCCCCAGAAAGGTTTGCATCAGTTGTACTTCTGTCCTCTGTATCCCTTTGTGGAGATAAAAAGGCTCTCCTTCGAGACACTATGCTCCCGTCTGTCAGAATTGTCATAATGTACTAATTTTCTTCCACCAAGAGGCTGCTTTCTGTATACCATAAAACTGCCACAATACTAGTCTACCATGTTGTCCATCTGGAGTTTTTTCATATGCTTATGTAGACATAATCTGTCCCCTGGCAAGGTAGGCCTGTACTGCTGCAAAAACAGGTAAAAGAGACACAGCCTGTGCAATATACTTGTGAATGTCATGTATGTGTGTCTGTGTGTATGAGTGTGTGTGTGTGTGTGTGTGTGTGTGTGTGTGTGTACATGCGTGCCTTCTCTTTGGGTGGTTTCTGCCCAGTTGCTGAAATTATTGGTCACATTCAAAACAGAATGGTGAGTCCAAGACTCCTTTAGAGGAGCAGGTCTCAGTAAGATACCTGCAGTGGGTGTGTGTGTGTGTGTGTGTGTGTGTGTGTGTGTGTGTGTGTCTTTCCTGAGGTGGGGGGCTCCTGGCAGACATGCCCAGCTCAGACCAGCCCAGAGTGGCAATGGGCACAGACTACTACTCCAAGGTCTCATGTGCTGCCAAGTCCTCTTCAGAACTGATTTCTGAATAACGAATAACGTGTGAGACATGATTTACTTCAAACTCCCCAAATCACAAGATAGACAAGATCAATAGTCTAAAATGAAAGGAGATGAGAGACATGTAGAAATTCCACCCCCCCCCACAAACCTTATTGACTTACATGTATGTACCTTGGAATAGGCACAGATCACTCCATAGACCACTGGTGATCCAAAACCTGCTGCTCAACTTACAGTACATATGTAGACAGGATGAACTGATTACCACACTTCCTCTAGCCTGGAGGCATCCTCACTCTATTACAACATCTGCCACTCTGGATGTTGGCAAACAAGAGCCTCAATGGGGGGCTGACTGTGTTTGTAAATAGATTTTATTGGGAGCCAGCCCACTGACTTCTTAGTACATTGTACCTGCTTTCACAGTGCAGTGGCAGAGCTGAGCACCTGCCATGGAGACCATCTAGTCTATAAACTACATCCCTGTTACCTGGCCCTTTTGTAAAGTGTTTTCTACTGCTTTGACAGAATGAGTGGTAGAAACAACTTAAAAGAAGAAACTGTTTATTTTTGCTTGCACTTTTAGAAATTTCAGTCCATAGTGTTTGGTCTGTTGACTGGCTCATGGAAAGGTATAATGCCATGGTGTTGGGAGTACTAGGCTGTTTATCCTATGGCAGACTGGAAACCAAGGAGGGGAATACAGTTAGGGGCTAGGTAAGATGAAACACAAGGGCATGTCATCAGTGATCTGTTACCTTTGATTAGGCTTCCCTCTTAAGGTTTCTAAAGTAGTGTCACCAGCTGGAGTCCAAGGCTTGGAGGGAGCTCCTCCCTTGTCTCTAGACATGGTCTCAGATGTAGGCCTGGCTGACCCCACACTCTCTCTCAGGTGACACGGCAGCCTCGGGCCTCCTCCTATGGTGCTGCAGAGACATTGGGCATCACCAGTGGGCTTTGCTTTTCCTGCCGAGAGAAATGGTTTATTTTCACTTCCTGTTCCAGGTACAGTCCCTCATGACAGGAAGTGAGCTTGTCAGGAGCTTGAAGTCATTGGTCCGTTGCATCTCAGTCAGGGTCTCTGCAGGGGAATGGTGCCTCCACAGTGGACAGGTCTGATTCTCCCTAATCAAGACAATCCCCTAGGCATGCAGAACCCATCTCCCAGGTGACTGGATTCTGTGAAGTATCCAAACCTGACAATTAACACTAACCACTGACGGGTCAGCTTGGTATGCACTTAAAAACTGAATTTCTCAAAATGATTTTTAAAGTCAAGAACTGAAGTATATCTTAGTTGATTTTCTTTTGCTATGTATATATGTACACACTGTCGGGACCTGACTTGTATCTGTCCCATACTACAGAAGCTATCTGATATCCTTGGGGCCTGTGTTCTGAGCCATCTGGACAGCCACAGGTTCATCCCTGAGTGGGGGTGCATGGACCTGGAAACTCCTAGCTACCCACCGATGATATATACCAGACACAGGCATCTTGTCATTTCAGGAGGACTCTCAGTCCATGCTGCAAACCAGAGTCTCCAGTTTATTCTAGCATCTTCCTAAACAGCTTTCTAACCTTCGGCGCATGACCACAGAGACCATCTCCTCTTAACTCATTTTACCCTAGGGCACCCCTAAAAAGGTCTCTAAGCACATAGACAAAGTTCTCAGCACAGGTGCAGCACATTCAAGGTCTAGCCCTGTTCTAATGCAAACTAGGAGACATTCTCCACTGAGGCCAGACCATCCAGCCGCAATTAGCCAGTATCTGCAATGCAATGGAGGTTCAGGTTTCTAAAAGATGGAGCTGGAGGTTTGGACCCTGAGAAACTTTAATAGATAAATTTTGGTCCCCAACAACACACACACACCACCACCACCACCACCACCAGCAGCAGTTAAAACCATTGGCTGCTGTCCCAGAGGACAGAAGTTCAATTCCCAGAACCCAATAGTGGCTCACAACCAAATTTCAATCTTCGCTGCCCATTGTCTCTGTAGTGGTAATCACATTTAGAATACCTACTCTTTCTGTGGCTATAGCTTTAGAAGTATGCCTGCATGGTCACATTTTTCTTTAAAGTGCATTTCTTGTTCTCCATTTATACTGCGCTCAGATAAAAGGCGTCATTACATTCATCTCAGTGCTCAATCTTATCTATGTCAAATGTCCCTGTCATCTGGAGCCCCCCTACCAACAGATGCCCCTCAAGGACCTGTAGGAGGCCGGCCTGCTGCCTGCGGTCAGGTGGAGGACTTTCTTCCTGTGCAGAGCACTAGGGGGACACGCTTAATTCTACACGTTTAATTCTACTGGTGCAGCTGCTCCTCTTGCTTCCTCCTGCAAAAGAGGGGACGATGATGGGCTCTCTTCTTGCATATCAGTATCACCACCCAGAATCTACCACTCTGCACACGTGTGCCCCACCCTCGGAACACGTGCGCCCCACCCTCAGAACACGTGTGCCCCACCCTCAGAACACGTGTGCACTGACACTCAGAACACGTGTGCCCCACCCTCGGAACACGTGTGCCCCACCCTCGGAACACATGTGCACCACACTCTGCACACGTGTGCACTCACACTCTGCACACGTGTGCACTCACACTCGGAACACGTGTGCCCCACACTCAGAACACATGCGCGCCTCTAAGTGGTCGGCCATCCTGCAGCAGCTCCTCTTTCCCTCCTCTTCATCTTCCCCCTGTCCCTCCCAGGTACAG